ATAGCTTTCTCTAGATTGTCCACGTTTATTAAACATTGAAAACAACTTTGAGAAAAATTGTTCCCACATTCTTTAAATGTAACACAGCATAATGCGAGAACTTCAACAACGTTCAAACAATGTTACGCTAATAATGTTACATAGACGTCTATAACACTGTGGAACTCAAAGTTCACTGACATCACAGAAACTTGAAAAGGTTCTACTATGATGCTTTCAGGACTTGTTCTTTGACGTCATGGAACAACAACAACAAAAAAAGAATAAAAATATAACATTGTGGAACTCAAAAAGGTTAATTGACATCATAAAAACTTTAAAACATTATGGCTTTGGGAAATGTAGAAAAAATGGTTCCCACATCCTTGAAATGTAGCACATAATATTGCGAGAACTTCACAGCTGCCTTTAAGAATGTTCAAACAATATTAAAAGAACAATATTACACTACTTAAAATCTTCTGTATCATTGTGGAACTCAGAAAGGTTCAATGACATCACAGAAACCTGAGAAGGTTCTATGATAATTTTAGGACTTATTTTGAGACATGATGGAACTAAAAAAAAAAATGGTTCATTGACAACATAAAGACATTAGAAGTTTTTACTATGACATTTAGGGATGCACCGATACCACTTTTTCCAGTACTCGCCCGATACCGATACTTTTATTTTTGGTACTTGCCGATACCGAGTACCGATACCAATATTTTTATTGCATTTGTACATTTTTTAAATATTGGGTACAGAAACCAAAAGGGTATGTATAATGTTAGTTGGTTAACTTCATTTATCAAATAGATACAGTCAAACCAAAATTTATTCAGACACATTCAACATTTCTCACATTATCACAGTTTATTCGCTATAGTTTAGAAAATGGTAATAAAATATGACAAGAACTCAGAGTTACACTGTGTAAGAACAAATTCAGCTTGATAATGTTAGAGAACTTTACTGGTCTCCTGTACTCGTACTCGTTAAAATGCCCCGATACCAAACACCGATACCACACAGCATGTGATAAGCGCCATATTCAGACAAAGAAACACCGACAACAGACAGCAGAAAGGAGTTAAGGATGTCTACTACGAAGTATATGTATGTATATGTATGTATATGTATAATGAATATAATGTTAAACATTCAGTATTAAAGCCTGTATAGCTGATGTGCGCGAGCTAATAAACAAAGCATGCTGAGTGGATTGAGCGTGCGGCGGCGCAGATGCGCGAGCTTGTCGAGTGAATTTTTCAACATTGTGGAACCCCCAAAAAACTTCAATGACATCATAAGAACTTAAAAACGTTCCATTGACTTCTATGGGACTTTTTGTGTGACATCACAGAACTCTGCAAAAAGGTGCAATGACTTCATATGAATTTAAAACACTTCTATGGCATTTTTGAAACCTATATCCTCAAAATATTCTGTGACATCACAGGAGATCATTTTAATGTTCATATCACATTACGGAACCTATAAAGGCTCTTCTTTGGCATCAGGCTGTACAACTATTTTTGGCTGTTTAATATGGATGTGAGATGAATCTGTGATCACTGCAGGAACATGGAGAGGAATAATTCAATAAGGAAAGCACCAAAGGCCATTGACAGAATTAAACGTCTCTGTGGGGATCTGCTTGATGAAAGTGTGTCGTGTTGAGATCACACTCATCAGTGACTCGTCCCGGACCACAGTCATGGGGTGTCTGTTGTTTTCTTCTCATGTCTACCGCAGATGAACCAGGTCTGCCTTTCCCAAAAGCATCAGAAGTAGATCAGCACCAGTGGTCTCTATCTTCAGCTCAGGTCATTTATATTCTAAAAATGTCTCATTTTGGAAGTTTTCAACTTCTAAATTGTAAGTAGCAGGTGATTTAAAGCATTAATGGTCAACCAATATTGGTTTATTATGGCAGATATTTAAATAGCAGGATGAGTGATGGTCAGTATAATGCTGATAAGATAGTACAATTTAAAGGGATAGTTCACTCAAAAATGAAAATTCTGTCATCATTATCTCACCCTCATGTTTTTTCAAACTTGTTTGAGTTTCTTTCTTCTGTTGAACACGAAAGACGATATTCTGAAGAATGTTGGTAACCAAAGAGTTAACGGCAGCCATTGACTTCCATAGTATGGAAAAAAAATAGTATAGAAGTCAATGGCTACTGTCTACTGTTTGGTTACCAACATTCTTCAGAATATCGTCTTTTTATTTTTGGGTGAACTATCCCTTTAATGAGACATAAGCACAATATGTTCTCAAAATTGACAAAAATTGAAACTTTTATTGTCCAAATTAAAACATGGTTATTGGCTGAAGCCAGTTAATAATCTCAAAACGGCCAAATATCAGCTCATTATCCAGCCTGGCTGATATATTAACCTGCCGTTAGTAAATGTGAGTGAGAACATTTAACTTGAATTATTTACATAATGTTCCAGGTGCGTTGATTTGTAATGTTCCTATAGTGCATCATTTTGTTGAATATGCATAAATACGGCTTCCTCTAGACTAGACTGTCTACATTATTTAAACCTTGAAAACACCTGGGAACTGTGCAAAAAAATGGTTGCAAAGATGTTGTTTAAACGTAGCACACGAAATACTGCGAGATCTAAGCAATTGTCTCAAAAATTGCACATTTAAAGAATGTTCAAACGATATTACGCTCAGACTGTTTTCTCCAAATATTGCTCGAACCATTATTAGATATTATTAATAACATCTTAAAATGATTAGTCCAAAATTGAAAATTTTTATAATTTCTCATCCTCAGGTTGTTCCAAACTTGTTTAAATTAGTTTCTTCTGTTGAACTCAAAAGATGATATTTTGATACATTTTGATACTATGGGAGTCAAAGGCTACCAGCGACTGTTTGGTTACCAAATATCTTCTTTTGTGTTCAACAGAAGAAGACAATTCATTTGGAACAAGTTGAGGATGAGTAAATGATAACAGGATTTCATTTTTAGGTGAATTTCTTTGAGGATGTTTACCAAACGTTTACTCATTCTACTTAACATATTTGAAACGTTCCCTAAATGTTACGTATACCTTAAGTAATTTAAATACAAAATAAGCGATCAGTTCACATGTGTTATTTCCAAATAATGTCATTTTGGTTTTGATGCAACTAATTAAAAGTGTGTTGTATTTCTTCATACAAGAAATGTGTGTTTAATCCTAATGAGAGTGATCTACTTTTGTAGTGTTGGTCTAGTTTTGAAAAAGTGATAAGGAAAGTGCTGATGTTAGCGGCTCCTGGTTCAAGATGAGCAGGTTTTGGGCCGACGCAGAACAAATCTCTTGTAGATAAATGACAGTAGATGATCTCTGAGGAGCACCATGAGCTCTTCACAGCGCTGGCTTTAGAGAGGCTCTGTGAAGGACGTGTAGGATTAGGTTTTGCCGCTCACACAGAAATACAAAGTCAAAGAGCGCAGCCGCGTGAAGGGCAGAGATCGATGTTCATTCAGATCAGCTGACACTACACTAAAACAAATATTGTGATTTGAATGATAAAAGCTTGCTACAGTTCTCTTACTGTAAATGGTGAAAAACTGCAATAGATCCAATGGGGCATTTCATTTAATCAATTTTACCGTAAAATACTGTTACATTTACAGTGCTTGGAAGTGAAAAAGAATAAATCATCTTATTATCTACAGTGAAAAACTGTAACTGACATTTCCAGAACTCTTTGTCTGACACTTGACTTCACATTTGATGGTTTTTCATTGAAATAACAATACTTCACCGTAGTTATGGGTTATGTACATTAGGGTATTATGTTACACCTTATGTTGTCAGATGAATGTTTATCACATTATTTTAGTGTCATGATGGTGTTTGTGTGTATGACACTGTCTGTGCATATTAGATTAGCATCAGTGTTGGGGGTAACGCATTACAAGTAACCTGAGATACGTAATCAGATTACTGATTTTCAAGTAACTAGTAAAGTAACACATTACTTTTAAATTGACGAAATATCTGACTTACTTTTTTCAACCAACTGACACCAGTTTCTTTGTTATGCAAAAGTAACGTAATGCGTTCCAGTAGCTAAGGAACACAATTAGTTACTTTTTAAAGTAGTAAAACATTACTTTAGAAAGTAACTTTCCACAACGCTGATTAGCATTCACTTCAGTTTGTGGAAAAGCTGCTTTGATTCATCCTGTGGTTTTTCTCGTTATCACCTGTTTTAAAGTGGTTGTTGGATGTATGCCTGTCCTATAAACATTCAGTCATTTCACCAGTCACGTTTGTTTGATGGCTTCTAGTGAATGAAATAGTGAGATGTTTCCCAGCTGTGCTGCTGCTGTGAAGTGTGATTAACAGCAAACTCACAGCATGAAGCTCAGTTAACCCTTCGGACTCCAGTGTTTTCTGAATGAAGCACACGCGGTGAGTCAGAGCTGAGGGTTCAAACGTGCCGCTGTGATTCGCAGCTGATCTGTGGGCTGATGGGTAACAGCGTGAGTCGATTCGTTGGTGGCGATGGTGACTCACGCCTGAGTCAAAGACACATTTATTCATTTAGCAGATGCTTTCAGCAGCATTTCTAGGGCCCTATGAAATCCTTTTTATTTTTTCCCAATTCAGTCATTTCACCAGAGTCACGTTTGTTTGATGGCTTCTAGTGAATGAAATAGTAAGATGTTTCCCAGCTGTGCTGCTGCTGTGAAGTGTGATTAACAGCAAACTCACAGCATGAAGCTCAGTTAACCCTTCGGACTCCAGTGTTTTCTGAATGAAGCACACGCGGTGAGTCAGAGCTGAGGGTTCAAACGTGCCGCTGTGATTCGCAGCTGATCTGTGGGCTGATGGGTAACAGCGTGAGTCGATTCGTTGGTGGCGATGGTGACTCACGCCTGAGTCAAAGACACATTTATTCATTTAGCAGATGCTTTCAGCAGCATTTCTAGGGCCCTATGAAATCCTTTTTATTTTTTCCCAAGTTCCTTTTTTTTTTTTTTTCAAATTCCGTTTTTTTTCCATTAAAATTTTTCTGGACTCCTTTTTAAATGGTTACATTTAATTGTATTAATCAAAAAGCATGTCTAATTGATTAAAAAACATGAAAATTATACAATTTCACATCAATTTATTAAAAGTTTAACAAAAATGACATGTTTAGGGTCCTATGAAATTTGTTTTTTTTCTCACCATATGTTTTATTGTTACCAAATTCTGTGTTTTAATATGCTAATTATTTGAATGCATGAAAACAACTTAATTTATTCAAATTGATTCTTACAATAGCCTTATGGTTTTTTTTTCTTCTCAGAAATGATCATGTATTTACATTTTTCTGGTTATCAAAAAATAAACAAACTTAATTATTTTGGCAAACAACGGGGATTTACTATTAAAATTAAAACGGAAGAAATGTTTTGATTGTTTGATTATTCCTTAAAAAATAACGTTTTAATCATTTTAGTAGTAGTACATTCTACTAGAAAGTTAGGCTAATATTTTTCTGGCACAATGTCTTCAAGTTAAACCAAACTTTTATTTTGACGGGTTACCTTTTAAGTTTCTGAGTGTATATGATATAGCTTCTCTCAAATGAAACAGTAAATGCTCAATACGCACAGAACAGTTCTGGAGATGTTGTAGATGTATTTATGTCCTCATTTAGTGAGATGGCAGTGATTCCGTGCATCGCAGAAATCATAGGGCCCTACATTTCAGATGCATTAATCATTGGGAATCAAACCCATCACTTTGAGGTTGCGAGCGAAGGAATGCAGATGCCGTCTGCAGGATGTTTGGGTGCTCAGGTAAATTTGGGCTCTGCTTTTGGAGTCTGACGGACAGATAACGCTCGTCTCTCCCCGCCGACCCACTTCCTGCGGCCGTGTTTATTTTTTACACAAGTGCTAACTGGAGAGCCGAGCTGAATTATTGATGATGCTGAAAATGGTGATCGCGCTCCTCTCGCTGCGAACGAAGAGGGAGGGGGGCATTTTTAATTAGAACTGTGCCTGTCTATGTGTTCAAAAGCGCATTAACCCTCTACAGACGACAAAAACTACCGCAAACAACTGATGTTTGGTAAATGACCTTTGACCTGTTCAGTGTCATTCATACATGACCATGGACTATACAAGGAAACACATTTTATAAGACTGAATATCTAAAAGCACATCCTATTTGTAAAAAAAAAACTGATCTATTTAATATGTTTTATTTATTTTTTGTTCATTGTTAATGGAGAAATCACACTTTATTAATACACTAACGATAAACAATATTTTAGCTTATTTTGAACACTGTTAGTTTACTATTATTTCTATAGTAGTTATAAATTTTTCGAAATAGCATTTATTTTTATATAGTTGAAGTTTTAGTAATTTTGTCATGTATACACATAAAACATTGCCATTTAGACATAATTATTACACATTTCAGGTTGTGTTTTCTTCTTAAATACTTCTAAAAATAAAAGAAGACACTTCTAAAAATAATTACTTTCATTCTTGAAGGACGCATTAAATTGATCAAAAGTGCCTGTAAAGTCATTTATAATGTCACGAAAGATTTCTATTTCAAATAAACGCTGTTCTTTTTATCTTTCTATTCATCTGTGAATCCTGAAAAATAACATGCATCACAGTTTCCGCAAAAATATTCAGCAGCAACATTGATAATAATCAGAAATGTTTCTTGAGCTCAAATCAGCATATTAGAATGATTTCTGAAGATCATGTGACACTGAAGACTGGAGTAATGATGCTGAAAATACAGCTTTGATCACAGGAATAAATTATGTTTTAACAGATATTCACATAGAAAACTTATTTTAAATTGTAATAATATTTAACAACTTTACAGTTTTTACTGTATTTTTAATCAAATAAATGCAGCCTTTGTGAGCAGAAGAGACTTATTTAAAAACCTTCAAAAACCCAGCATGTATTAGCAGTGTTTGCGGTGTAAATGTGTGTGTGTGTCTCTCAGCTCTGACCGTCTGGGATCCGCCCCCTCGCTCACACTCTCGCTGTCGCCATGACGACCTCGGCCCTGCGGCGGCAGGTGAAGAACCTCGTGCACAACTACTCAGACGCGGAGATCAAGGTGCGCGAGGCGACCTCTAATGACCCCTGGGGCCCGTCCAGCTCGCTGATGTCCGAGATCGCCGAGCTGACCTTCAGCGTGGTGGCCTTCAGCGAGGTCATGGCCATGGTGTGGAAGCGCCTCAACGACCACGGCAAGAACTGGAGACACGTCTACAAGGTGAGCGGATGCGTCCACTGAACATCAGCTAATCAACAGATTCCCCTCAGCAGCTCTTTCTGTCCTTTTCACTTCAGTTCTAGGCTCAGTTATTTTTAGTGTATTTTTTTTTCTAATTAGAGATTTCTAGCCTAATTCTAACAAGTTTTATTTTTAGTTTATTTCTGTTTTTCTAGTCTAATTAGGGATTTCTAGCCTAATTTTCAAGAAGTGTTATTTTTATTTCATTTTTAGTTTTTTTTCTATTCTAATTAGTGATTTCTAGCCTAATTTAAAGTGTAAGTTTTAGCTTATTGCTTTTTTCTATTCAAACTATTGAATTGTTTTATTTTTAATTGTAGTTTATTTCTAGTCTTATTAATGATTTCAAACGATTTTAAGCCTAATTAAAAAACATTTTTTTTTAGTTTATTTCTAGTTTAATTTGTGATTTTGTTATTTCTAGCCTGATTTTTCAAAAAAGAAAATGTGTGTGTGATTTCTAGTTTACTTCTAGTCCAAGTAGAAATTTCTAGAAGTTATTTCTAGCCTAATTTACCAAAGTGGGGTTTTTTCTAGTTTATTTCTAGTCTAGTCTAGCCTAATTTTCAAGAAGTGTTATTTTTATTTAATTTCTAGTTTTTTCTATTCTAATTAACGATTTCTAGCCTAACAAAAATCGCTTTGTTTATTTCTGTTTTTCTAATCTACCGGTAATTAGTCATTTCTAGCCTAATTTAAAGTATTATTTTTTTAGTTTATTTCCTTTCTTTCTAGTCTAATTAGGGATTTCTAGCCTAATTTTCAAGAAGTGTTATTTTTATTTTATTTCTAGTTTGTTTTTATTATAATTAGCGATTGCTAGCCTAACAAAAATAGTTTTTAGTTTATTTCTGTTTTTCTAGTCTAGTTAGCCATTTCTAGCCTGATGTTTAAGAAGTGTTATTTTTATTTTATTTCTAGTTTGTTTCTATTCTAATTAGTGATTTCTAGCCTGATTTAAAGTGTAAGTTTTAGCTTATTGCTTTTTTTCTATTCAAACTATTGAATTGTTTTATTTTTAATTGTAGTTTATTTCTAGTCTTATTAATGATTTCAAACGATTTTAAGCCTAATTAAAAAACATTTTTTTTTAGTTTATTTCTAGTTTAATTTGTGATTTTGTTATTTCTAGCCTGATTTCTCAAAAAAGAAAATGTGTGTGTGATTTCTAGTTTACTTCTAGTCTAAGTAGAAATTTCTAGAAGTTATTTCTAGCCTAATTTACCAAAGTGGGGTTTTTTCTAGTTTATTTCTAGTCTAGTCTAGCCTAATTTTCAAGAAGTGTTATTTTTATTTAATTTCTAGTTTTTTCTATTCTAATTAACGATTTCTAGCCTAACAAAAATCGCTTTTAGTTTATTTCTGTTTTTCTAATCTACCGGTAATTAGTCATTTCTAGCCTAATTTAAAGTATATTTTTTTTAGTTTATTTCATTTTTTTCTAGTCTAATTAGGGATTTCTAGCCTAATTTTCAAGAAGTGTTATTTTTATTTTATTTCTAGTTTGTTTTTATTCTAATTAGCGATTTCTAGCCTAACAAAAATTGTTTTTAGTTTATTTCTGTTTTTCTAGTCTAATTAGCCATTTCTAGCCTGATGTTTAAGAAGTATTATTTTTATTTTATTTCTAGTTTGTTTCTATTCTAATTAGTGATTTCTAGCCTAATTTAAAGTGTACGTTTTAGTTTATTGCTTTTTTTCTATTCAAACTATTGAATTATTTTATTTTTAATTGTAGTTTATTTCTAGTCTTATTAATGATTTCAAACGATTTTAAGCCTAATTAAAAAAGTATATATTTTTAGTTTATTTCTAGTTTAATTTATGATTTTGTTATTTCTAGCCTGATTTTTCAAAAAAGAAAATGTGTGCATTCTAGTTTACTTCTAGTCTAAGTAGAAATTTCTAGAAGTTATTTCTAGCCTAATTTACCAAAGTGTTTTTTTTTCTAGTTTATTTCTAATTCGGATTTCTAGCCTAATTTTAAAGTTTAATTTTTTTTAGTTTATTTTTTTTATTTATTTTTAGTAAAATTAGGGATTAGTTCGTTTTTAGCCTAACAAAAAAACAAACAAAAAAAAACTCTATACCTGGGAAAAATTAATAAAATGTTATAAATTTTTATGAAAATTAAAATTTTTGTTTTAATTAAAAATATGATTTACATTTTTTAAATGTTTTATACATAATATGCAGCTTTTCAGTTATGCCAACCTCCAACATTTTTTTATCTAGTAGAAACTGAGTAAAAAAAAAAAGAATAGTAAACCAAACGAATAGAAAAAAAGTATAAATTCATTGGTCAAAACCCTGAAAAACATTCAGCACTTAAAATTGCATTCCTGAAATGTAATTATTTAAGTTATTTTAGTTTCTTGTAAACTACCAGAGGAAGCTGTAAGCCTAACCTATTTTTCTGGACAGCAGAGTCTCTGAAGAAGCTCTGAGAAGCTGTGCTCTAGTGTTAGTGATCAGTAATCGTCGGTGTGTCTGTGCTCAGGCGCTGACGCTGCTGGACTATCTGGCTAAGATGGGCTCGGAGCGCGTGGCCCAGCAGTGCCGCGAGAACGCCTTCACCATCCAGACGCTGCGGGACTTCCAGTATGTGGACCGGGATGGGCGTGACCAGGGCGTGAACGTGCGCGAGAAAGCCAAGCAGCTGGTGGCTCTGCTGCGGGACGAGGAGCGTCTGAGGCAGGAGCGGGCGCAGGCACTCAAGACCAAAGAGAGGATGATGGCTTACCCCAGCAGACGCAGCAGCCAGCCCAGCATGAACGCTCTGTACGGAGAGGATTCCAGAGGATCGCCCACCTCCTTCAACTGTAACACTCTCATTCATATTACTACTAACCCAGAACTGATGAGCTTTCACTTTCAGGTTGTGTTTATCCAGCATTTGCAGGCTGTCAACCCATGTGCCTTACAGCAATAACATTCAAAAGGAATCTGATAAATAAAAAAACCTCAAGCAATCTGGTACAAAAATAAGATTTCGTTTTGCTGTAGAAATTTTTATTTTTTAATTTAGCAACGAATGCAATATTTGAACTAAATTATTGTGATGATGCTGAATTATGTAATTGATTTTGCAACCAACACTGAACAAAAAAAGAAAATGGTTGCATTTTGTTTTACGATATGTGCACTTACCTGTAATTACAGTACACTTACCTAAGAAAGTACTGCTAATTAATTTAATGAATTGCTTTATTAACTTTATTTAATTTAATTAAATTACATTTAAGCTATTTAAGGGGCAGTGTCTTAAATGTACATCTATAAATAAAATATATATGACCACATCAGAGAACATAAATAAATGTAAACAAACATAAATAAATAAGACATAGAATTCTAAAATAAAAATAGCAATAAAACAGAAAACTGTTAAATATACAGGTGCATCTCAATAAATTAGAATGTCGTGGAAAAGTTCATTTATTTCAGTAATTCAACTCAAATTACGAAACTCGTGTATTAAATAAATTCAATGCACACAGACTGAAGTAGTTTAAGTCTTTGGTTCTTTTAATTGTGATGATTTTGGCTCACATTTAACAAAAACCCACCAATTCACTATCTCAACAAATTAGAATATGGTGACATGCCAATCAGCTAATCAACTCAAAACACCTGCAAAGGTTTCCTGAGCCTTCAAAATGGTCTCTCAGTTTGGTTCACTAGGCTACAATGTGAGTTTTTTCTGCATTGGGGATATTCTGTAGTCTCAGGCCTTTGTTTGGGTATAAATCTTTACTGGATTTTCTCAGATTTTGTATATAAAAAAAAATCTAATGTAATGAAAAATGCCGTTTTCTAGTAAATTACATTTATTCCTATGCGGGTCAAAATGACCCGCGAGGGACACTTTTGTTACTTTTTTTAATGCACCCATTTAAACTCCTCGAATCCACTCAAATCTTTTTTGTTTTATTCTCGGTGCAAGTGTGACAAAAGTAAAGAAATCTTGAACTGGTACGATCAACACACGATTTTTAGAATTTTTTTTAAAAAACTTTTTGGGTCAAAATGACCCGAGGGACGGATGAGGGTTTTAATATATGCTGATTCGCGCATATGATCCGCTCCGTGCGATCGCGTATCTGGACCGGAGCCAAAGTCCGGATCAGACTGTGTGCGCTGCCGCGGTTCGCGTGAAACAACGTGAAACCAGACCTCATTTGCCCCAATCGAAAGCATATTTACACTGTCTGAATCCTTCCCTATCACCTACATTGTGCACTTCGAGCCATTCACTGTACAGGAAATACTACACTGAACAAGTGACCGATCTCAGCCGCTTCAGCGTCTATTTACAGTGCAGGGGGCGGGCGCTTCGGATTCTAGAGAGCGTTTGATTGGACAGAAGATTTGATGAGAAGATGAAGTACGATGTTACGTCAAAAAAAACGTTGAGCCGTTTTGGGGGAAGTGACGAACTGCAAGCTTTGAATGCTTATATCTTATAAATGCTAATTTTGTCACTGTTTTGGAGCACACTGCCTTATAGATAACCTTAAGACTAACATATTGATACTAACACCCAAAAAACTTTCATTTTGATTTCATGGGGACTTTAAAGATGAAAGATGCAACATAACGCCAGCAGGGGTCACTCATACTTAATTAAATAAATAACAAACAGTTAATTCTGCCGAAATACATAATAAATGAAATAAATGTCTTGATGCTATATTATTGATTGTTTATGTTGCTAAGGGTGTTGCTCAGTGATACACAGAACCGTTGGGTGAAGTGGTTATAGCCGTGCTGTATCCTGAATAAAACTCAGCTGCTGACCAATCAGAATCGAGGAATAGAACTAACCGTTTTATAAGACAATTTATTACATTGGTTTTATTTATTTAAAAACATTATTTTAACACATTTTGTTTCATAAAATCATTTTAATATATTTGTAATTATGTTTTATAATAATGAAATATTTATTTTATGCTATAATTGATCACATTTTATTTATTTAAAGCTATCTTTTTGCCATTTCTAGATTTTTTAGAAATTTTGAATGTTTTACATTTATTTTAATTAAAATTATATGTTTATTTATAATTATTTCTATTTAATTATATTACTATTTTGCTAAGGGTGTTGCTCAGTGATACACAGAACCGTTGGGTGAAGTGGTTATAGCCGTGCTGTATCCTGAATAAAACTCAGCTGCTGACCAATCAGAATCGAGGAATAGAACTAACCGTTTTATAAGACAATTTATTACATTGGTTTTATTTATTTAAAAACATTATTTTAACACATTTAGTTTCATAAAATCATTTTAATATATTTGTAATTATGTTTTATAATAATGAAATATTTATTTTATGCTATAATTGATCACATTTTATTTATTTAAAGCTATCTTTTTGCCATTTCTAGATTTTTTAGAAATTTTGAATGTTTTACATTTATTTTAATTAAAATTATATGTTTATTTATAATTATTTCTATTTAATTATATTACTATTTATGACATTCATTTTTATTTCATTTATTTTGTTGGATTACTTTTTCAACTATTTTTAGGTGTCTTAAAATATATTTTCATATTTTTTATTTGTAATTGTATATCATCTATTCATCCATTGTTCAAACTGTTTGTCCTTGATTATACATTTATTATTTATGTTTACTATATTATAACATAACTTTTATTATATTGCAACTTCATGTTATTATATTACAATCACATTAGGTCATTGCTAGGTTTCTTAAAATATATATGCATTTTCAATTTTGATCTTAAATATATTTTACATTTACTTTATCATTTTATAATTATTTTATTCATTATTAATATTTTATAGTACAATTGATGACATTTATTTTTTTAACATACTAACTTTAGGTTTGTTAACTGTAGTGTACAGTAATAATCCTGACACACTCTCTCTCTTCTTTACAGTAGACGGTTTCCTAAATGAACTGTAAATGATCCTGTGTGCCTTCAATTTCTGTGGTGTTTGAGAGTCTTTTCATTCCCAGCATCCCCCATGACACGAGCCGGTCGAGTGTGTGTGTGTGTGTGTGTGTGTGCGCGTGTGAGTGTTTGTGTGTGTGTGCAACGCTCCGTAAGCACAGAGGAGGAAACGTGAGGAGAAAGATGAGCAGGAGGAGTTTTGATGCTGTTTCAGGAATATTTGCGTTCCTACAGGATGCAGTGGAGGAGCAGAAACCGCACGCGCTGCTGAAAATAACCCTGATTAACCCAAATCCACCGCAGACACGCCCCTCCACAGCAGCCAATCACTGCCTGCCGCTCGCTGTGTCGCTCAGCTGTTGTCATGGAGACGCAGCAGGATGTCCTTGTAACTCTGCGCAGGTATCCGAGGAACCGCCGTGTGTTTCAGGATTCTCACCCGGGACGCCTCAAAAACATTCAAACTATAAATTCGAAAGAAAAAAAAAAAACATGTGAACTGAAATTTAGTCCATATATAATATTACAATATGCATTATATTAAAATAAAAACCAAAAATAATGAATAATAATTAACAAATTAAAAAAAAACGTATTTTTTCCCTCAATAACTGTTGTTTCTAATTGAATAACACAGAGTTCTTGAAATCAAAGGGGGAATACCTTTTATTAAATTAATAAAATTGTATTAATATATTGAAACAGTCAAACTCTAAATTAAAATGCAAAAATGGAGACACGGGAGGCCTCCAGGGCAGATCAGGGAGCTCAGGGGGCCATGGCGGATCAGGGGGCCATTGCGGAGCAGGGAGCTATATAGCCTCCCCCCAAAAAAATACTTGGGGAAAATCCCGGCTCTAGAGGCCCTCCATGGGCCAGGCATTGGAGCAGGAGCCCTCCCTGGACGGGATTCGGGGACTGGAGCCCTCCTTGGTCTGGACACGGGGACTGGAGCTCTCTCTGGGCTAGACTCGGGGACTGGAACCCTCTCTGGGCTAAACTTGGGGACTGGAACCCTCTCTGGGCTAAACTCGGGGACTGGAGCCCTATCTGGGCTAAACAGGAACACAGGAACTTATATACACAGGATAATAAGGAACTCACCACAGGTGCAATGAATCATAAAGCAATTAAAGCAATCAAGAACAGGAAAAAGACCATATAAGGCAGGGGTGCCCAACCCTGCTCCTGGCGATCGACTGTCCTGCAAATTTCAGCTCCAACCCTAATCAAACACACCTGAAGCAACTAATTAGGGTCTTCAGGATCACTTAAACATTAAAGGCAGGTGTCTTTGATTAGAGTTGGAGCTAAACTTTGCAGGACAGTCGATCGCCAGGAGCAGGGTTGGG